CCATACTACGCACTCACCGACATCACAGAAAAGGCCAACACCAGTCTGGTCACCCGGGATGGGTCGGTGATAAGCTGTGCCAGGTGACAGTGGACACTGGAGCATACGTCACGGTAGTAAGACCGGATATCGCTGCTGGATGGCCTGAAAGACAGCCAAATCCAGATTTCATGCTGCAGACCATGTCTGGAGGAACCCTACCCATCCTGAAAGAAGTTCTGTTGACCCATACACTGGGGCGCCAACCGATAACAATGTGGGTTTTTGTCGCGAATATCACCGATGAGCTCATCCTGGGACTGGACATACTGCGCACCTATGATGCGTCAGTGGATATAGGCTGCCAAACTCTACGTCTGAGAAGAAGAAGTATCGTTATGGAGTCCTGGGGCAGGACCCCGTCCTTCCAGCTTAGTAGCGGCAAAGGACCATGTGATACCCGCACAGAGCGAGGGAATAGTGATGGCTAGAATGGAGAATCATCTGGGAGTAGAAAATGGTCTAGTAGAACCAAGCACAGAGACACCATGTATGCGAACCAGAAGACGTAAGAAGATGCTGGATGACCTTGGTGACAGAGAGGATATTCTCATTTGAAGGAGAAATCTCTAGATCGCATTAAGTGGAGAAACTGTTTTGGGAGAGACTGTGGACCTGTCGTCCGACAGATTACTGATAAATGAAAATAAAAAGAACCAAGCCCTCAGGACCACCCACCTGAAGGAATCTACGTAGCCACGACCCTAGTTCAGGACTGTCAAGAAGTACCAGTGAGGGTCATGAATGTTACCCACAAGGACCAAAAGCTCAGGAGAGGATCTCCTCTGGCGCACTGTGAGCCAGCAACACTCGTGGCTTTGCCCGAGGTGGGGCAGCCACCAGCACCAGGTCTAACACCGAAATTAGCGGATGTGACCACAGCGGCCAAGCCACACCTAAGCCCCGGAAAATTTCAACAGTTAGAGGATCTCGTGTCCGAGTACGCGGATATCTTCGCACAAGACAACGAAGATTATGGAAGGACAAACAAAGTATATCACCACATAGACACGGGAGAAGCCCGACCAATTCGACAGCCACCGAGGAGGGTACCCCTGGCAAAACAAGCAGAAGTAAAGGAAATGCTCGACAACATGCGAGGACAGGGGGTTATAGAAGAATCGGACAGCCCTTGGTCCCCGGTCGTTTTGGTCAGGAAAAAGAATAGGGAGCTCCGTTTCTGTGTGGACTACAGAAAGCTGAACGACGTCACCAAGATGGATTGCTTTCCACTACCCCGCACTGACGACACCCTGAACATGCTGGCCGGAGCCAAATGGTTTTCAACTCTCGATTTAAAGAGTGGCTATTGGCAAGTCGATGTACACCCAGACGACAAAGAGAAAACAGCGTTTTCGACAGGTCAAGGGCTATGGCAGTTCACAGTCATGCCCTTTGGCCTCTGCAATGCGCCGGCAACCTTCGAGAAGCTAATGGAGACAGTCCTACGAGGGCTCACGTACGATTCATGCCTTGTGTATTTGGATGACATGATCGTAATAGGCCGCACATTCCAAGAGCACATGCTTAACCTATGGAAAGTGTTTCAGAGGTTCCGGGAAGCACATCTGAAACTTAACCCGGAAAAGTGCCAACTTTTGCAGGAAGAGGTCAGGTACCTCGGGCATATTGTATCCACCAGAAGGGATATCCACCGACCCGGAGAAGTTGCAAGCCGTGCGGGAATGGCCGACCCCGAAGGATAAACATGAAGTTAGAAGCTTTCTGGGACTATGCCAAGAGCAATGTGTGCATTGCCAAAGTTGAGATGCGGGAAGAGGTAAAGCAAATACGCACTATTGGAACCCTACCGGCAGCCGGCTGGGACCCGGTTACCCTAAGAGAAGAACAGCTAAAAGACCCAGACATAGGGCCTATTCTACGGGAAGTAGAAAACGGCCAACGACCGAAATGGCAGGATATCGTGGATCGGAGTCCCACGTACAAGAGCTACTGGGCCCAGTGGAAATCGCTCGCTGTGAGAAACGGCGTACTAGAGCGCAACTGGGAATCCGCCAACAGAAGATGTCAAGTAGCCCAGATAATTATTCCTCGGAGCAGGGTGAAGGACATTCTGAGCGAACTGCATGGTGGACCGTCAGGAGGTCACTTCGGTGTCAACAAAACTCTGAATAAGGTTCGGCAGAGATTCTACTGGCTCCAAGCAAGAACCAATATTGAGAAATGGTGTCGACAGTGTGACACATGTGCAGCCAGTCAGGGACCACGGACAAGGAATCGTGGGCAAATGCACCAGTATAATGTCGGGGCTCCCTTCGAGAGAGTAGCCATTGATATCGCAGGGCCCTTCCCACGAAGCAACCAAGGGAACCGATACTTACTGATCGCTATGGACTACTTCACCAAGTGGCTGGAAGCGTACACCATCCTGAATCAGGAGGCTTCGACAATAGTGGAATTTCTGGTAGCCAACTTCTTCTGCCGCTTCGGCATACCTCGGGAGTTGCACAGTGACCAAGGCCGTAGCTTCGAGTCTCATCTACTGCAAGAAGTTTTGCAAGGCCTGGGAGTAAGCAAGACGCGCACCACACCCCTGCACCCACAGTCGGATGGTATGGTGGAACGCTACGTCAAGACGATCGAGGAGCACTTGCGGAAGGTCCTCGCATCCCACCAAAGGGACTGGGATGGGAAGTTACCCCTCTTTCTCCTAGCTTACAGGGCATCCACTCACGACACAACGGGCCTGACCCCTGCTGGCCTAGTGTTCGGACGAGAACTACGACTACCCTGCGACCTGCTGTTTGGCGTACCCCCAGACAAAGAACTTCCCACAACCGATTATGCAGCAGACTTGGTGGATCATCTGCACGACATCCACGATTATGCCCGACGGCACCTGAAGCTCGCCAGCGACCGAATGAAAACTTGGTACGATAAACTGGCCAACTCCGCAGGTTATGACGATGGCGACATAGTTTGGCTCTATCGCCCAACGCGCAAGAAAGGGAAATCGCCGAAACTACAAGCATCCTGGGAAGGTCCTTACAAAGTAGTGACCCGGATAAACGATGTGGTACACCGAATTCAGATGACCCCTAGGTCGAGGATGTTGGTAGTACACCTCGACCGGCTAGCGCCTTATCATGGAGCTGCTCGAGACGAGCAACCATAAAAAGGGGGAAGATGTAGCGGTTGGAAAGCAGAGCAAAGGGGAGAAGAGAAAGAGTAGCAGAACAAAAAGATGCTGCAAGAACAGCCTCCAAAGAAAATGAACGGGGTGCACCATTAGGCTATTTGGGACGAACAGCCTTAAGGAGGGAGCAGTGTGACATGTTGCACAAAGGAGAACCCCTCCCTACCCAGCAGCAACGTGGCAACTCAGACCACAGTGACGTGGCGGATGAGTCAGCACCCTCCCCCCCTGCAGCTACTCAACAATTTCCCAGAATTTTTTGGAACCCGAAGGTTCATTACTGTGTTCACAAGAGCCATCCACTGGTCCATACCCTGAGCCAGATCAATTCAATCCATACCATCCTATCCTATCTCTCTAAGATCCATTTTTGTTCAGCCACCTACACCTTGGTCTCCCAGTGGTCTCTTTCCTTCTGGCTTTCCCACCAATATCCCATATGCATTCCTCTTCCACCACATCCGTGCTACATGCCCTGTCCACCTCATTCTCCTTGACTTGACCATTCTAATTATATTTGGTGAAGAGTACAAGTTAAGAAGCTCCTCATTATGCAGTTTTCTCCAACCTCATGTCACGTAAGGAAACACAGAACTGCTATGGTTTAGTGATTACTTCCTTACAGTATCCACCAGATTTGAAAATACAAACAATTTTACAGAGTATGAGATTTGAATCTTTTGCAATGGTGGAAAGCCTTATTCTGGTCTCCTAAGTTATGACACTGTGTTGCCTGGTAGATGGTTACCAGAGAGCATACTGCCCCTGGCTTCAACAGACCAGCAGAAACCTTTGGTAACCATGCCATAAGCCAGAAGTCCATGAATGAACTTCACATAAACTGATATCAAGCATAATGTTGTATTGCAGCATCCTGTTACACTGCTTAGATCTGACTTTGCGTTTTGCTGTGATGCCATCTGTGTGCAACATCGGTTACTATTCTCTCATAGTTTTCTCTTTGTCATCACTACATGTTTCAGCCTAACTGACAGCCATCTTCAGGTGTACAGGCTGTTGTGATGAAGGAACCTGCTGCTTACTGTAATGCTGTTCTGTTTCTGTTATGTGGAGGCCTTGGATTGCATCTAGGTTAACCATCTGTTGTTTATTTAGGTGTCCTTGAGCTGCCCATGTCTGTTGTGCACTAGTTGGCCATCAACAGAACAAATTCCTGCCCCAGCAAGAACATTCAACACAACCAGAGCCAACAAAACCATATGGCAAACACCAGCAGCTCAAGGACACCTAAACCAAAAACAGATGACTAACCCACATAACCAGATGCAATCCGAGGCCTCTACATTTACAGAAACAGAACAGCATCACAGTGAGCAGCAGGTTCTGTGCTCACAACAGCCTGTACACCTGATGACCATCAGTTAGGTCGAAACATGTAGTGGCAACAAACAACAGCAACTGAATAGTAACCGATGCTGCACACAGACAGCATCAAAGCAAGCCACAAAGTCAGATGATATCATGCATATGCATTACCCTCCTACATGCAAACATAGTAAAGCAAGAGAGGCAGTTTGTTGGATAAATGAGTATTAGCCTGACATGGCCACACACATCAAACTGACATTTCTTCCTGTAATACTGTAATATTATCTTCCCGTCATGTTTCGGTCTTGACATGCATAGATTATCACTTCAGTCTTCACACGTGCAGATTTTCACTTCAGTCTTGACATGCCCAGATTTTCACTTCAGTCCTGACATGCAGATTTTCACTTCAGTCTTGACATGCACAGATTTTCACTTCAGTCCTGACATACACAGATTTTCACTTCAGTCTTGACATGACCAGATTTTCACTTCAGTCTTGACAGGCACAGATTTTCACTTCAGTCTTGACATGACCAGATTTTTGTGGCATAAGCTCAAGAGAAAAGACTATCTGAAAGAGCCAAGCATGGATGACAGGGCAGAAAAATGGATGTCAGAGAAATGCTGTAACTTGCTTGCTACAACTGCACAGCAACAGCTCCTTGTTCTTATGGCAGATGAGTCACTTGAGGTCTCCTGCTGGTGAGTCACAGGCCTGAAACAATTACATGAATAGCATTAAAAAACAGGTTCTGATTTGCATGTGAATCTGTATGTACGGTTTCAAACACTAGCAAGTAAGTTATGTAAAATATGTTTTGGCTTGCGAATAGTCAAAAAAGTATCAGGATTAGAGACTGTTCTTGCTTTATACTATGCGTATTTTCAATCCCTGCTATCATATGGATTGATATTCTGGGGCAATGCAGCGAATGCAAAATTGATCTTTATGATACAAAAGAGAGCTATTAGAACTATAATGCAAATACAAAAAACAACCAGCTGCAAACAATATTTTAAATTGTTACATATATTACCTCTACCAAGTCTGTATATATATGAAATATTAGTTTACATGAAATCCAACTTGAATGTTTTCATCACTAATTCAGCAGTACACTCACACAATACAAGAAAAAAAGACAACTTATTCATAGTTCCATGTAGGACGAGTCTGTGTAAAAACAACTTCAATAATATTGGACTTCGTCTTTTAAACCACTTGCCGCAATATATAAAGGACATACCAGCACTATACAAATTTAAAAAGACTTTGAAAACATTTCTACTTGAACATTGTTTTTATAGTATAGATGAATTCTTCTTGTTTGGGGATAAATCCTAGTTAACATCAATATTACCAGATAATTCAAGAATAAGTGACTTGTTGAGCTTATACCAGCATGCTATGAATGTATACTGCGCAGTTCTCTTCTGCTTAAAGGAATCAAGACACCATGTTGGATGTGATAGAAAGGACATCATGAGATGGAGGGACGTCTACGTAGGCCGCTTAGAGAGAGATAGAGAATACCAGGCCATCAAGAAGGGCACCAATCTGCTGAGAACATCACATTAGCTATCAATATCATTATTCTAAGGCCACGCCATAGCTTAAGCGATTAGTCGCTGGCTTCCCACCACTGTGATCTGAGCAAGTGGGATTTGTGATGGACAAAATGGCGCTGGGGCAGGTTTCCTCCGAGTACTTCGGTTTCCCCTGCCAATGTTCATTCCATCAAATTCTCCACAAATAAGAAAATCTAAGTAATTCTAAATTGTAATCAGCAGTAAAATTGTAACTATTGTAATTTTAATCTACTTATATATCAAATTGTTAATATTCAGAATTAACTTGACTTGTCATATATAATGTACAATGATCTACAGTGACGAAATAAATCAATCAATCAATCAATCAAACTTGATCCACTTTTAATTTCAACAAAATGTAAGACTTCTGTGTGGCTTGCATTGACACAAAAAATTATGGTTACATAACATTCCTGCATGATAATACTTGGCACTGAATTCAAACAGTGAAGCTTCATTACTTACAGTTCACTGTAACCAAGCTCATACTTACCAATACAGAGAAGTGTTCAACACAAAATTTATACCTACTTTAAACTCTCCTACAACACCAAATTTCATGAACCAAATACAAACTAATCTATACTGTGAAGTGTTGTTTCATAAATACCTGTAATAGTATTAATCTTTTCTTCTAACAAATAACGAATCATTTAANCGTGTTGTCTTTGTACTAAAATAACTAAAATATATATTCATCATATATATTGATAAATTTTAAATATTAAAAATATTAAAACTGTTCAGGATTTGTCATCCTTATGTCGTATCTCAATACGCGAGTCACACCTATCTTCTTCTATTGGAGTATTCTTCCTACTTTCATGTGTGTATTGTGCTTTGTGTTGTGTCTTGCTCCTGTGACTGCATGTGTTATACAGTGCATATGTATGCACTGTAAGATGGTCAGAATAAATCATGGAAATATTGAGAGTACTGATTATTTTACACATAAAATCAACAACTATATCTCTGTCATCACATGATATATCTGTTTCAATCCACAGCATACTATTTTTTTATTGCTACTGGGGTGGGACTAAGTCCCTTGCACTGCGGCCACTTCTGGCCTATTCTAGCAGCCTCAGATGATAGGTGAGGGTGATTGTGGAGCAATTGGTTGAATGAAGATTGGCAGGGGAAACCAAAGTACTTGGAGAAAAGCTGCCCCAGCGCCACTTTGTCCACCACAAATCCCACTTGACCAGACTCAGGATCGAACCCAGGCCACCGCAGTGGAAAGCCAGCAAGTAACCGCTTGAGCTATGGCGCGGCCCCACAGCATACTAACTGTGAATCTGTTAATTCTTTTGGTCACAGTGACAGGCTTATGTTTACAACCACCTTGGAGCTCAAGCACAGACACATTCAACCATACCCCAACTGCAGAACTGCAGCCTCTGCACTTCTAATAAGAGTCTATATGATTCAAATTTATATATTCCCGAAGATGTATGATGAGCAATATTTGTCAAGTACCCTCATCTCCTGCTTACTGAACAAATTCATATAAAAAAAAATCATCACAGTATACACATTAAGCTTTTAAATTACAAACATATCACACTACCTCAAAGTATGTAAATATTACCGAATATTAGTAATTAATTAAAATCTTGTAACGTCCACTCAAGCTAACATAACCAAACTCGCCCCTTGCCCCTTGCATTGATACTGACCCTGATGATGGACACATGGGAGATCTCTGAAATGTCAGCTGGAGGCTGTAATCCTTACAGCTGCTGCTGTGAAAACCTCACATCTCCTCATGATGTGTGTGTGTGTGTGTGTGTGTGTGCAGAGGGTACGATTTCTGGAACATTCCTCACTCCGGCCACAGTTGAGAATCTTTATCATCAGGCACAGTAGTATCTTTACAGATACTAGCAAGCTTCTGTCAACAAAGGGCATCAACCACAAAAGAGGATTGTAAACTGCTTCACTAACAATAAATTATCCTATTCATGGTGACAGCCCCACGCAGTGCAACTGGAACACTCAATGATATGGTATATATTAAAGTGCTTCCCAAAACTTTCAGTAGAGGAACATGGGGTTCCTTCTGCCAGGGTTTCTCAAACTATGAGTTATAAATAGCTGGGATTACTGAGTTCTCATGAATTATTTAAAATAATCCATAACTGTACTGACAAACAGGTCTGCCAAGTCAGAAAGCCAAGAACCTTTAATATAGGTCAAAGTAAGTAAAGGTATCCCTGTAACAGGCCGTGGAGGCCCATAGGGTTGTGGGACGTCAAGGCTCCCACATTTTCTAGACAATCAGCTCACAGATGGCTGTGAGGTTGTCAGCCTTATGCGCCGTCCGCGCTTTACTCCCCAGGAAGATGCCTGGTACTCATTTCTGTTAGAGGCTGAGTAGACCCCAGGGCCATAGTGTGGCTGGAAGTATTAAGTCAACTGAAAAATCCAATGATCTGACTGGGAATCAAACTCCTGACGTTCCGGTTTGTAGCATAGTGCCTCAACCAACTATACTACCACATGCTCCACTGCAATATAAGTTGCGAAATGTAGCTGCAATTGATAAAAAATTCTGACATTGTTCATCACTGTATATCAATATTTTGTTGATTACTGTAGTTACACAGCGAGTGTAGTCATTTATGTTTCTGCTGTCACCATACATCATGAGAGGAGTGCATAAATTACTGTATTATTTTAGGAGATCGTGGAACCACAACATTCAAGTTTGAGAACCATCCTGAGCCTTATGTTTCTTCATATCCCATCTACCTTCATTCTATTTCTAACGAAGGTACCCAAGCTCAACATGCACCCCCCCCCCAACACCCACATGCCTTGAACCTCTCTCAAGCCAGAATTCTCTGTGGTCTACAGGTTTCCTACCCAGCAGTCCCCATTAGAGCACACAGGTAACAAAGAGTTTATCAGTATAAAACATTTTATATATGTTTAAGTTTCATAAAGCATTCACTATATTTATGATGTGCATTAAGTTACCAGTATACCTATATATACACACCAGCATATATAATTTTGTCCTTAACCCTAAAGAAACAAAATATGTACGAAAAATCAGGCATCATTCTTTGGTTATTATCTCGATTAAAATATTTTTATAGTACAAGACCAAAACCACATGGCAGTCTCTGAACTGACCTTGATACTTAACATAAAACATACTTAGTTGTGTATGCTACAAATTTGTATGTCCCAAGCCCTACGCTTCATTAACTTTACACAGTCTAAGGTAGTAAAATGAACCCTACGGTATGCAGGTGACGGAACAAAATCTGCCTCGAAACGTGATGTGATGAGACACGCACAGCATATTCCTTAATTTCAGGAGCTTCGATCACACACCAAACGCAATAATCTACGCTTACTAACCTTACTATGTCTCCGATTACCCATCCCCGAGCCACGTGAACCACGCGTTGCTTAACGCATACCAGGGGATCATAATGATCATAATGGTCAAACCGTATGATTCAGTGCTCCTCAGAATGGTTGTGACACTAAGTAACCATCTGTCGTACATATCTCTTTGGCAGGAGGCACAATAGATTACTATTGTCGCGGTGCAAAGGCCAAGAAGGCCCACCCCTTATTCATACATTATCTCGTTGGGGGAAACGTTAAAATTACTTACTTACTTACTTACTTACTCATGGAGCTGAACCCTTCTGAAGGAGCTGCAAATTCTGCAGCTACTCAAGAATTTCCCAGCATTTTATGGAACCCGAAGGTTCATTACCGTATTCACAAGAGCCCTCCACCGGTCCATATCCTGAGCCAGATCAATCCAATCCATACCATCCCATCTCTCGATGATCCATTTTAATATTGTTCACCCACGTACGCCTTGGTCTTCCCAGTGGTCTATTTTCTTCTGGTTTCCCACCAGTATCCTATATGCTTTCGTCTCCACCATTCGTGCTACATGCCCTGCCCACATCATCCTCCTTGACTCCTCATTATGCAGTTTTCTCCAACCTCCAGTCACTTCATTTCTCTTCGGTCCAAATATTCTCAACACCTTGTTCTCAAACACCCTCAGTCTATGTTCCTCCCTTAATGTCAAAGACCAAGTTTCACACCTACACAAATGTTAAACGGCCTTATTTAATTTAAACATACGTCCAAATGTACATTTACTAAAGACTCCTATACAATTGGTACCGACGATTGCTTCCCCAATGGAAAATCAACAGGTGTGTGATATGACCATTCACCACCCCCCCAATCTAAAGCCAAGATTAAAAATGATGTGCTGTTCTTTCATTCCGGGTTACTCCTGCACGATTTGTTGCTGAGGTATAAAAATGACGCTTCAATAATGAAGTCCTATTGCTTTCAGTGCTCTTCCTAAAAATATTTTTGTACAAGTGAATCTGGGGACTCGTCTCTCCAGTAATTCACCGATAAAACCTTGGACGTACGGCACAGGGTAGAGGGTTGAATATGGTGGATAGGATGAAGGCAGTCCAAGACAATTTTATGCATGTACAACAAGCATACACTAATTATGTGGCCTGAGAAAAAGCAAATAAATTTCATTTTTTTATACATTTAGCAATTATTCCAAACACTTATTTCAAAGTTTACATATCAACAAATATGACACATTGCACTGCTGGCCATTTAATGTCTCTTTTATTGTGCAGGAACATTCCATTCAGGTGGCCTGCAAATGTTGAATTTGAGGTTCTCAGAAAGGTAACTATAAAGAATATTGTCTTCTGGCTCATAAATGCTGTGTGCTTCATATACATATGATGTTCCTGAGGAGTACATAGCCTCCATATTCACTCTCTAAACTATGTGGAGTTAGACTCCAGAAAACTGTATTGTCCTACACATGGTGGAGTCGGTGGCTGCTCCTGTTATGTTGGGCCAACAAGATTTGAAATACTAGAATTGATGCAACTATAACCTAAACACATTGCATATAAAACTAATCCAGATTGCCGAATATGCTGAAAACATTCTCCATAGTTCTTCACAAAAAGCTTGAATTCACACTTACTCCTTGGAAATGGAGTTTCGTTGAGTTCTTATATTTCCATTGTAATGTCTGGTATAGGAACCAAATTATTAAACTCATTTTACAATTGTCCCTAGCCTCCTGTTCTTTATTTATTAAACAGCATTAGTAACGAATGTTGACATAATCAAGCACTGAAATTACAACCATCTTCTGACCCCTTTCCTTATCCCAAGCGCACTCTCGCCATTTCTCAATCCCTCTTGATCACCTACTTACCCTTATGACCATAACTTCCACCTCTTTAATACCAACACCTTAATGTTCCCATCATCTCATCCTCTCCAGCTCCCCAGTGCCACCTTATCAATACAATCCCCAGCTTTTAATTCCTACCAACTCCAGTACCTCCTCCCCTCATTCACCATCATTTTCCCTTCCACCGTGAACACTTTGAAACTGAAATGAAATGCAGCCGAGTTCCCATCTAAGTTGGCAGTTTTGGTGTGTGAATCCTAGAGTACATTGAGCGATCCAAAAGCGGACTGTTCAATTGTCTATATCCAAAGCAATTTTGGCTGCTTTCTGCAGTTCTGGAGAATATAAAATGTAAAAAAAAAAAAGCCCCAGGGATTTCCTCTGCAAGGATCTATGGACCTAATGAAAAATGCAAGTGGAAAGTTTAGTGTTGTCAAAGGGGAGGCTGATGGAAGTGCATCCACCAGGTTGTAGGTGGTGTTAAAAAGATACCCTGGATTTGATATGATGAGTCATTCTGAATACTGTTCCTGAGAAAATGCCTTTGATAAATTATGCACTAGTGACATCTCCTGCCAAATGTGATTTCTACTAGCATGAAACATTAAACTGAAAGCTTTCCACATATAATTTAATACACTGAATGCCTTAATTCATTGAATGCACATTGTTATTACATTTTATTCACTTTTACTATAGAAGTCATCTCCTAGGATCTGATGCTGCAGTCCCACAGAAATTCAACAGTTTCAGAGGAATGTGCTTCTATCTTCAGAGCCCTACCTGCCAGATGATTTTTGGCTGACTCTTCAATCCTGGAGATGGAAACAGTACATTAATCTGAATTCCAGTGAACTTCTGATGAAGAGCATCACATCCAAGAGTAAATATAACTCTTCAGCCACTGCTGTAGCTCTAATCCAAGGCAGTTATCCTCTACTGCTGGTTGTATTCAAAACACAAACCTGTATTTTCGTTCTCTAGTGATGTGGTTATGTGAAACTTTATTTAACCGTTTATTTTGTTATGTGATGATGTGTCAGAGATGGACACTGACCACTGGCAGCTGTAAAAGTAAAGAACCCAGAGGAAACATGAAATGGGATAAACGGGTCATCTGTGACACTCTTGTACAGTGAAACACCTCTCATGTGGAAGAGTTCTGTCTTCTGGGTGTAGTGCCTTCAAAGTCAACCAACATTTTGGAGGAACGATGTCACATCTTCAGGGTAAAAGAATAGGCCAAGAAACTGGTGCGAAAGTAGATGACAAAGAGCCACCTTATCACCTGATTTCAGCTGTTACTCTGAAGATGGTGACCCATTCTTCCAGACCACTGTAGGTCATGGTGCAAGGGCCGAGGTCTGCCCCTCATACATTCATTCGTGGACAACAAATCCTACAGTTTCCATACTGTTATGCTCTAATGAAGTGGAACAAATTTTAAACTTAACTGAAATCTCAGAATTATAATTTACTGCCAAGATATGAAGCATGGTTCACTGTTCAAGGGTGTAATGAAACTGCAAAGTCCATACACATGATATATATTTCTTTACAGGACATTTTCAATGCAGATAACAAAAGAGGTAGTTATTATCTTGCATTTGGCAAGTTCAGTTGTTTTATAGCTTTGCACAACTTATCACAAGAACATTTCAAGAAAGGAACACAATTTTATTCCTGCACCAAAACTTCACATATTGAGGTTTTACCTTTTATTACACAGTGCAGGATAGAGGTAACCAGTAACAGGCCCACAGTCCAGGCCTCTCAATCAGTTCAGGCTCCAGCAGTATTTTACAAGGCACAAATTATTCTTCTCAATCCATCACACCCACAGAAATTATTCTCCAAACATATTCTCATCCCAGATGCTAATAGACCTGTTCCTTAACAAACACTTGTTACCTGAGAAACTGAAAATCTAAATATTATAGGCACATAATAGCAAGCCATTGTATGGTAGGTTAGGAAATGATGCAGGAAGGAAATGGAACATGGATGTAGTAAACAAGCAGATGGTACAGTATGAATTCTCACCACTCTTATAATCTAAAATGGTATAAAGATATTAAAGAATTATTTGTGAGGAAAAGATGAAATATTGGCTGGACTGAACTGATTTTGGGTTGAATTCATTGGCAAAACTGATAATTTTACTGAAACTTGTGTTACCAAAAGATCAGTCTTGTGAGACATAATGAAGCCTGCTGCACATAAACAGTGGCTTCATAGGAACCTGAGGAAGACTTAGTTGTACTGAGAACATGCCGACATAATTGCTCCCATATCATTATAAACTGGTTGTATGAATAACATTACAGAAATATCAGTTATTACTACATCAAATTGAGCAACTGAATATATCAAAGCCTAAGAGACATTCATGATGACCAATTCGCTTCATAAAGTTACTGGTAAAATTACCCATTCAAGGTTTCTTTAAGAGTTGATTTGAACACTCAACTAAAAAATCTTAAATGGAGGAAACTGAACACATATTGGTGTGGTTCATTGAAATTCTGCAAGAAAAAACATTTTTAGGAACATGGAATGGAGTTTCCACTATATTGGCAGGGTTCAAGAAAACTTGTCTGCTCAAACATGACAAGTGGAAAAATCTTTGATTTATTCAGCAAGTCTCACCTGCTCTTGCTCAGGTCAGTAAACATCACACAAGTACACATGCATATGCACACACACACACACACACACACATATTTCTCCCAATACAAGCCACATCTCCAGAATTTCATGGTCTTGAAATGAAAATTTTAACTTCCATTATCATGTGCAAGTCACATATATTCAACAGGAAGCAAAGTTTTATGTTGTTACAAGCAGTTATATTACATAAAACATGATATTTTATTTTTTTAGTCAGAGAGTCTCTATTAACACCACAGAATTAGGTGTGATGCAATTATATTTGGGCCCCATTCATTTCTAACTTTCAAGTTCTCACCGATTTATCCTTTAATGAAAGTTAAAGGCCATCTCTGGTCACAGAATGTGTACCTTTACAAGAAGTAGATAATACTTAATTTCTTCTTTACAAACTGCTTATAAGCCACATGAATTATAAGCCCAATATTTGGAGACTCCCTGCCAGGACACATTGTGCCAAATCTAATTCTTTCCAGGAAATGTTAATGAAAGAATTGTCTCAATTTGAAGATTATGTCTTCTAAGATGTAATGCTAAGTAGTCTAGTATATTAGTACCAACATTTCAGAACCTTCTCCCTTTCTTTCCAGTCAGCTTACTCCCCACCATGATGGATATAGTATTTTCCAAAATATTAGTACCTTTCTAAGATTGCATGGCATCACAGTAATCCTTGTAATCTCACAGCCAGACAATCCAGTTTCATCTTGAGAACTGGTTCATGGCAGTAACTTCAAACAGTTGGCACACTTGAACAGCTCATCCAAGTAGTCAGGTATGACACAGTTGTGTATATTGTCATTCATACAGTATACCACATTCAACAAATTCCTTAAAAAATCAAACATCTTTGTGGGAAAGCTCTCTATAAAAGCACACATCAGCTGTGAAGTTCATGGATATTTTAATTGCAGCAGAATGCTGTGACCTTTTGTCTGGAGAATTTTTTTGAGGGGGCTCATGCCTTAATTTTAGAGGGTACATCAAACAAGATTAATTTGTCATATATTGCATATGTCAACTTCCCTACTTCACCTTGAAGAACATTCTTTCTGGGGGACATTCATTGTACAGGTACAGTAGATGTTACAAGAGCAAGTTTTTGCTCAAGTCAGTTTCCATCTGAATTTGGATATTACTGTTCCTGTTAAGCATTATCCACATCTGAACCCAAAAGATTTTTTGGTTTTTTACAGGTTGTTTACAGAAACAATCCACAACTCAGTTATTAAGCAAACAATTGAACATATTCTGGCTGGATTAGTACAAAATTTTTAGAGTTTTGGTTCTTTATGAAGATAGTACACATATAGAAAATGTGCTCACTAGATAATATACCAGGTATGCACTAAAACAGATTAATAAAATTACAACTGGAGGATCATTTTGGATAGAGCCTACATGATTCTCAATGCTTGCACATCAGTCTCCGTACAGGTGCAAAGTGAACAGGTCAGGAAATACAGGTGTCCATGGAACATGAGCATTACAGAAACCTTCCCCAGTATGTGTGGACTACTTAAGCATAATCCATTACCTAGCCTCCACCGTCACCTGAAGTGTACAGGAACCCTGCATGAATTGCAACAAGGACAGCTGTTTCTTGTTGCTACAGTTAAGACTCAACATTGTGGATTTCATGAGGACACCACATAATATATTTGTGAAGTTCACTGGGGAAGATGTCTGCTCTTCAGTTGGCATTTATGCATCTGTAGACTTATGACATTGTTCAAGAGTGTGTTCTAATTTAAATAGATCCTCTGTGCACACAAAGCTGTGAGAAACAAATCTTCATCCCTATTCCCTAAAGTTAAGTGTCCACATTTTTATTGTCTTATTACAATGCCTTCTATTGCCGAATTCAACCTTAATATACCTTTGTCCATCATCTTGTGTCCTGTATTTATTTAAAACACAACAGTTTATCAGAGACTGGGTTTTGGCTCCATCTTCAGGTAAAACCTCAGTTGGGCCCACTTGATAGTGCTAGTCCCTATCTCTGGACACCTGTACCAACACAAGATAGATTATACAAGCCAAGCACAGCACAAACCATCTGCAAGAGTTAAAACAAAATATTAAAATATTAATATCTTGTCTTGGTTGTTGCAGATGGTTTGTGCTGTGCATGGCATGTAACCCTATCTGATGTTGGTACAGGCGTCTATAGATAGGTACTGGCTCTGAGGTTTTACCTGAAGAAGGAGGCAGAATCAGTCTCTGAAATGTTGTATTTTAAATAAATACAGGACGGTGTTTTAGACAGACACAAGACGATGGCCAAAGGTATATTAATGTTGAATTTGGCAGTAGAAGGCATAGTAATAAGACACTAATAATGTGGACACTTCTGGTGTTCTTGTGGCACACCAGTGTTCCTCAGCACACCATGGCTGTCATGAGCACCGGTTGATGAAAACTTTATGGAATAGGGTTGAAGATTTGTTTCTCACAGCTTTGTGTGTAGCACTGCATCTCTTGTATTTCTTCATGCAGGCAACAAAATACTAAAAAAGTAAATGATTCTTAGATAAATGTGATTTATGCGGTTTAAATAGATTAGTATTGGACATACTGAGTTGTTAAATAACTTGCATTTATCACCTGAAGAGGCTGCTTACAACAAAGTGATAATTCTGAATGTGGGTGATGATATGGATGGAAGCAGAATCCAATCTCTGAAATGTTGTATTTTAAATGAAAACAGGACAGTGTTCCAGACAAATACAAGATGATGGACAGTGCCCAGAAACATAATGTGTATATTACTGTAACATTGTCACAAAATTTTAGGTCTCTATATTTCACTTTAAAAATAATGATTTATACGTATGTTGAAACAGAATAAGTTTCCTGGGGAAGACCCTGCACTCCAGTATCACACCAGGGGTGGAGCTTTATATCATCCAAGACCCTTGGTGTGCTCCTGATTTAAAAATTATAATAAATGCTGTCCCAGTCAAGATTGGGAAAGATTACAATGTTCTTGACAAGAGTGGGGGTCTTCACATTGAAATATTCTAGTCATGCAGTAACAAATTCCACATAGGAATTTCATTTGAATGTAGTCGTGAATATGAAAATATGAATTTTTAATTTTTTAAATAAAAAATGTCATTTCTTCAAATCATATTAATTACAAATTCATCCCTCACTTCATTGTTAGGAATAATATAACTGTGTTTCCAGTATTATGTAATATTTGAGGTTTTAAGATAGCTATGGAATTTTTAAAACATGCAACTTCCATTATCAGTAGGATATATTATGAATGAAAAAATCACTTAAGGGACAAAACCACATAAGTGTCCTTATAAAATAGGGATGAATATCAACAAGTTCAGAGGAAATACACTTGTGTACAATAATTGTCACAACTTATTCCAGTCATATTAAATGCAATATAACCAGTAGTGATTTTGTTAGTAACTGGGCCAGTGACCAGAACTATTGTGAACTGGAATTTAGTGAAAATATACGATTTAGGGGCAACATACTGTGGTTTCTTGAGATTTAATATATGCATTTATGCAAGTAAACAAAGTAATAATTAACTTCTCAAAAATCACCACTGATCATTGACAAATACATCAAGAATTCACATCACTATGAAAAATGGAAAAACAATGCACCTAAGCTAAGTTCCTATAGTTCTGTAATAACCAAGACAAAAGATCTTAATATCTTTGTAACAGCAGATAATGCAGGCAGAAGCAGTGCTTTGTTCCTTTTTAAAATGTAAAACTCAGCCTATCTTTGGCCTGCGTTTGCTTCCATTACTTTAGGCACTTAGTACATACTGCATTGAATCCATCATTTCAATGCCTATGGGAGGGTTAGCTGACCATTTGCTACCAGGGCCCAGATTAAAAAACAATTGTTTATATTTACCAACATGACTTTCAGTGAATGAAGACTAGAAATACATCATGATTGTAATGGGCTGTCCTCTGTGACAACTTGTAGTCTGGTATTTAACATTTGGGAAAGCGGCTGCATTCATGTTCTGGGTACAAGAGTAGGCAATGTGGAAAGGAATAGACAGTGATACAAGGGGGAGAGAGCATTGTCTGGGGCTCAAGTCAAACTGATAGGTGTGGGTATATTGAATGTATTGCCTTGGCTGTGAAAAGGGCTGCAGTAGACAGGCAGGAAGGGAAATCCAATGGAGGCCAAGTGAACCTAATAGGACTCCCTTAACTACAATAAAAAATGGTTAAGCTTTTAGAAAAGGTGAGTGGTAAAAGGCAAAAAACACAAGGCAATTTTATAAAATAAAAATCCCATCACAAATAAAAGTGGAAATAAAACCAAAAACCAAACATATAATAAATAAATTAAAGGGACAAAAAGAAACTATATAAATCAAAGTATATTCAGTGAATGGATGAATAGTCTCCCCATAGAGAAATACTATGTAGGATTTGAGGTCCTTAAGCAGTAAATATAAATGCCTGTGACAACCTCAAAACTTTACAGTTACAACTAGATTTCTAGACTATTAATACTATATATGATGCATTCATGGCAGTGAAATTTTAGGTGTTCCTGGGTTGCAACACACCTTACTTCTGCATAGAACCAGCTGTATTCTATTTTCAAGATGCTAGGGTGCAGGTAGGTTATGTAGGAATAGGAAGAGTCTGTGCCCAAAGGCAAACCTTCAATTCTGTTGTAGGTGATAAGAAACGAGGGGTGCACCAAATACTGGAGCAACTCCCTGCAATATCTTTGAAATGGGTTCAAGAATCTCACTGCACTATCTCCTACAGTATCTTCCAGAGAGGTTCAAGGATCCCCATGCAGTATTTCCCAAATGGGTGCAAGTAACTCCCTGCAATATCTCCCAAATTTGGTTCAAGGGACTCACAAGAGAATATCAAAACTAGGCCAAGCAACCCACATGGGTTCAAGCAATTCTCTGCAGTACATACTAAATGGGCCCAATCAACTGCCAAAAGTATTAACCATTACCAAAGGCAACTGCAACTGCTGTAGACATCGAAAATCTTTATTATTAAATAACTAAATTACTTCTAGGAACATAAACAATGATATTTCATCCTGCTGCAAATGAAATATTTAACTGAATTAAATATACAAACATATACTTCAAGTAAACACAAAAGATTATACTTTATTCTATTTTTTATGAAAACAAGCAAATAATGATGAAACATTTTATGTTTAAGAATTTTGATATGTGCACAAAATGTACCAGCCCCTGTAATGCTTCCATTAGATATACATATATCACAGTCTCCTTAGGATTAAACATGATACAACTCTTGCAAGAAGTCCACTTCAAATAACAATGCAGTAAAATATTTTTAGAACCAAATCTGAACTAAACAAAAATATATCTTAAAAACTTGGGATGTGTCCCTCATCCCTAAAATATAAGGAAAACTAATTGCCAAGTTACAGCAAATTGTCAGAAACTATTGGTTGCAACAAATTCAGCAAAAGTAGATTATTGCTTTCTTCTCACATAGCAGTGTTTGCAATTGCACTTCCTACAATTTATCCAATCAAATGAGATTTGAGTCATGTAAGATATGTGCAGATTTATTAGCCATTGCAGATATAAAATCCATTGTTTGCAGATAATCATGTTAATGGCCTACTGAATAAAGAAAAGGAAAGAAAACTGAAAATGCATGCCTTAACAGGAAGATGCTGTAGAATCAGCTCTGGATCCATTAACCTTAATTTAAAGATGCATTGTGTATTCACACTATGCAGAGTGAATTTTGTGAAATGAAGTAACTTCCTGGATTTTGTCCATAGAATACTTTTTGAAAGAACACGTTTAGGAAACCGGATGTTTTTATCCTTAGTAATTATGGAGCACCAGTTGGGGCCAGACCCAACTGTGTGGCCACCCCACTACCATCTTGCCTGAGGATGGAAACAAGTCCTGTTTCCCTATTTGAAGAAAGGCAGTCTCATTTAAAGTAGAAGCTAGAAGTTGTTCCCCAAATTGTAAATTGGGTCAGATATTAGGTAGCTATTTTCTTTTGCATGGGTACAGTACTCACTGCTTCAAATTTTAGTATGTGAATGAAATTTACATAAGGATGATATGAAAAGAATGCTAGCAATTTTGGGCTGTTCAAGGCCTGACAGCAAATTTGAATTCAATTTTGCTGTTATGACAAATGCTGAACATGTCTATTTTATATGAATGACAAATTAAGAAAGTTTTGTGTGAACTGATAAATTTTACTTGATAGACTGAGACCTAGGACATAAATGCATGGGGCTTGTATCACAGAACAGCCCCTGCTGAGAAATCTAAAAATCAAGTATATTTGGACTGTCAGAAGCAGGTTTTACTCTATATGAAAATGAGAACACCATAATGCAGTGTAAATTCAAACTCAAGTTATGTAGGGTATCAACATTAAACACCTTTATAACCATGGAGACAATAGAATTGACGTTTTATGGCTTATGCATAAAACTCACTTCTAGGACAGATAAGTGATAAAAAGTTATCAAGGATCCTTCCAATCATTTGGGTTGTGTGCTTCCAGTTTCATGCAACAGCCTTGAAAATGCTGCATCTTTAACACATTTACTCTATTTTTCAAACGACTCTGTAGCCTCCAGAGACGACCTTCTACGTCAGGACAGGAGGATCTAATTCAGTATAGTGAGCTTCAAGTACTGGGACACTCCAAGAGATATGCATACAAATTAGATACATTACTGAGATTACGCACCTGTACAAACGCCAGAACACAACCATCAGTGCCCTGGGACACATGCTTCTCTCCAGGGCAGAATAAGCAGTCTAAAATTTTAAAATTGTTAATGAACTGTGGATAAAACTTGGTTTAAACTTTTAAGAGGATTTGACAGTCTGACGTAATGCATGCCAATTAGAATAATTTTTCTGACACTGTGACATACTGATGAGAAACATTTCTTGCAAAAGAATTTGCAGGAAGTGTGTAAAGTTAAAGGTAAAGGTGCACTCCATGAAGACATATGGAGTGGGTTGTTCAATTCAGTCTTAAACCTTCCACTAGATGTGTAAGGGTCAAAAGGTGAGTTACCTACAAGCCCTAGCTGCTGTACCCTGTCTGTTAAACCTCCCTTGCTGATTAAATAGGAAGGTAAGTGGCAAAGGGATAGTCTTTGTGCTGAAAACACCTCTTACCCTGCCAGGAAATGAATGTATTAAAAACATTACTGGGCAGAAGATGACACTGAAATAATTTAATGTCTTTGAGCTTAAAGAATGGCACTTTTTTCCCCTGCATCTACTATCAAATCATGTACAGCAGCTTGAACACCAAGAAAATGCCTCGACATTCATAAGATATTTTGTTTGTACTCAAAAGTCTTTTGTGAACACTTTGGCAAAATATTTCAGGTTCAGTAAACATGGTAAGACATTCAAAGGAATTTTATAACATTTAAAACCAAATTGCTTCCAGCAATACCTGTAAAATATTCTACATAACAATACAAATACTTTTGTACAGCAAATTTCTGCACAATAGGAACACTCCAGTGATTACTGTCTTCTTGAATGTACTATTAATAATTATTTTATACATTACAGTTCCCCTTCCTCATTCACTCCCTTGTGAGCATTAGTTTCTATCAGTGCTTTTTCTTCAATTTATTCTGCCCCCCCTGAAAAGGCTATTTCAAGGGGGTCTCCTCCTTTGCCACTTTTCCTGAGGCAGAGAAAAGACTCATATATTTCACTCACAGCCATTATTTCTTCCAATTACTTTGCCCTAGGAAAATTAGCTTTAAGGGATCAAATATTATTCATATTGTTAAAGTTACAAGTTTCCATTGATTCAATCAGAGCAGTTTTCTATATCCCAGCCACTATTTTCCATGCTTAGTTCACTTTTTTTTACCATGAACATGGAGGCAAAAAGACTCAAACCTGTGTATATCAAATCAGAAGGACATGGCGATGTATTAGAGGCTTGAAAAGCTGTACGAGACATAAAAGTGGATATATATATATATGTATATGTATAATATATATAAATCTATTGCCTATTATTATTTTCTTCTTAAGAAAACTTTCCTTCTTCAACTGAAGAGAATTATATGAAACTTTGTCCACAAATGCAGTTCTTTACATACTGCTCTAGGCATGATTTTCAAAACATTTATAAGGTGATAAGTGATTTTTTTTCTTATGATAACTAGATGTGGTTCAGGAGACCAGCACTTTTATGTTCACATCATAGGTGATCTGTAAATACATGTATTATCAAAACATCAAGAAAATTGAATTTCAATGTGGCTGTAATGGACGAATGCTTGTTAACTTCAACTTCAGTAATCAAAAACTATTGAAACACCTACCCCTTCTATGCCAGAGAAGCAGGAAATGAGAACATTTTAAATGAGTGGAACATTCAAAACTGAGATTAATGACTTGGGGGTCACTGGAATTGAAATATTAAAAGAACAGCTTTAAATTAAGAAATATTAAAGTGGTTTTCCACTGTATTTTGACAGCACCAGTTTGAAACTGAAATCTAATATATTGCTGTTCATGGCCTTTTCTGCTGGGAAATTTGACTCCACTTATACAAGCAATCAGCTTTTCTGATGCATGGAGAGAAAAAAAAATACAAAATTCATGGATGTAAAATTAACAAGTGCAATTTAAGACTCGCGTTTTTCCATTTCCTGTATATTCAGGGTAGAATTCTTTTACCCTGAAGATGGAAGCAGTAGGTAAATAAAATCACTGGGTTTCTACCAAACCATAGTGTCACATTCCAGAAGACAGTAATCATAAAATCAGCAGTTGCTTTCCAGCTGTTACTTACATTACTTAAAATTCTGAGGTATCCACCACACTGTCTTCAACAGTGTGGATGTTCCATAACTTTGAATACTGGTAACAGGTATATATTAGAATCAACTGTTTAAAATCAGTATCAAAAACCAATCTGATCACCCTTGTAAGAAAAGTTCCTTCCAAAGTTTGTCAAACCCAGGTATCTAAAATCTCTCAAACATTTTAGAAATGCCTTTATACTCTGCTTTGATAGCCAATAAGGCAGATATGAGTTGTGTAAATTGTGCTAAATATCCCTGAGTTTATGACAACAAATGGATGCTGCTCATTCCTTTGGTATAGAGATTCACTTGAAAAACTGCAGACTCATCAAGTCAACTTAGAGATGTTAAACCTTTCCATACACACCTCAGCAGCATCCATAGCAATTATTTATACATTTTTTCCTGTTAGGTACACATATAATGTAAATATATATAACATTGTAACTCAATTAAAAACATGCTCAGATTTAATTCTGCTAAAAATCTGAATGCACATCTTTAAAAATGTGGTGCAGTCAATCAAATCTATTAAAAAATCAATATGAAAGTAGGGAATATATTCCATATACCTGAGATCTCACCATTTGAAGCTTTTGATAACAGGTCCTTTATATTCATAGGACAGCTTCTTCAGAACACCTGGACGCGATTGTTTGTGAAGTCTACAACAACAATCTTTCCATCAGGACTCAGGCAGATGCCACTTGGACGGTCAAATTGACCAGGAGCATTGCCAATAGTACCAAACTGGTGTATGCACAACCCATTAGGCTCAAATATCTGAATGCGGTTGTTTCTTGAATCTGCAACAATTATACGCCCATCATCATCCACACATACCCCCTGTGGACGAGCGAAATCTTTTGGACCAGAGCCTTCCTTCCCAAGGTAGCGTGGTTCAGTAAGCTGTGGACTCAGTGTTATAAGGCAGTGGTTATTGAAGTCTGTGACAAGAACCATTCCAACATGACTGAAGCAAACACCACGGGGGGAGTCAAAGTGTTTCAACACTCCAGCCAGATCCTCATAACCAAATTTGCAGAGAAATTGCCCAGTTGCAGAGAAGAGTTGGACACGATGATTGCGCGTGTCTGACACAATTATACGCCCCTCAGTATTCACATCTACATCCCATGGGTAGTTAAATTGTCCATCATTATTTCCCCTCTCACCAAAGGTAAAGAGAAACTCGCCATTCAACCTGAAGACCTGGATTCGATGATTATCCTTGTCTGCCACCACAATACGGCGTTTCAAATCAGAGGCAACACCAGCAGGACGGTCAAATTGGCCGGGTTCTGATCCTTGTTTACCAAACTGATGAAAGAATGTGCCATCAGGTTGAAAAATCTGGATCCTATTGTTGCTGCGATCTGCAACAATTATGTTGCCATCAAGGTCACAGCACACACCCCATGGCCGGCACAGTTGTCCATTTGCTCCACCTTCACTTCCAAACACCACCAACGGTTCGTGAATGTTGCGGTACTCCCTGGGAGTTGTGATTTTTATAATGAAAGGACTGTCTGTAATATGCTGTCCACGTAGCTTTATGTGAAGGTAGTGGATACTTTTACTAATTGGCTTGTAGCGTATAATATACATACCAGGTGACCACTCTACAGTGACTGGTCCACCCCGCATGTCATTTGAATAGAGCAGCTGTACCGAGAGGGTCTCACGCGCAGGGGATATTTGGCAAGGATTCCCCAGATGATCATACAATCTTACACACAGGTTGTTGAAACGACTATATCGAGCACGAACCTTGCATCTTCCGACAGCTACCGTCCTCTTGAGATCTACCGAACTGCGCACAGACCCCAGTTGCGCTACAGAACGATAGAATTCTGGGTCCGGACGAGCAAACTTGAGTATCTCATCCTCGCATGGCACGAGTGGAACGTCCTTCATGTTCTTCAGCTCATCAGCCACGTTATACATTGCACTGATGACATCAAAAATATGATCCGAATTATCAAATTGAAACAGGAAGTCATACATTCTTATTAATGACTGTTTTAGGCTTAGTATCTTATCCTTTTGATCCTCCAGGGAACTGATCTTCAGTGTATAGACATCATTCGCCTGAGACATTAGTTCCTCTCTTCTTTCTTCCAGCATTTTCATAACCTTTTGTATCTCACATTCCACAGCATTGGCCGTTTCTTGTTTCTTTATCAACAGACATCTTTGTACATTATCAATACTATCCAGTGACCTCTGCACAGCCTCCATTCGTGCACTCATGTTATCCAGTAATGACTGCCTCTTATCCCGTACCCATTCTGACCGTAACACCACAGAGTGCGCAGCATGCTCAAACAGTGAGCATTGTCTACAGATAGGAACCTGACAAGTGTTGCACTGGTACTGTGCTGGTTGTCGTCTGTGTTTTACACATACTTTTGATGAGCTGTGCCCATTGGAGACTCTGCCGAGAGTTAAATCAGGCGATATATAGGCCTGCGGACAATGACCTGGAGTGTCTCTGAACCTCACTATGGAGTGACTTTCAGTAAGGAACAACCTGGTGTGGTCAGAAGTGCAGGTGATACAGAGATTGAGACCACACTGCCAACATTGAGAGATGCTCGATGCAGGACATTTGTCACAACCAGGTGGTACTAGCACTGGACCACGAGCACCATCCTCGGTGCTATGATTCATGGCGTGCAAGAGTTCATTAATGCTGTCCAAGCCACTTCGGCCTGCTCTGTCTTGTCTCACAGAGATAGAGTCGACTGGACGTAAGCGAAATCTCTCATCTTGTTCTGCAGGTATGCCCAAATTGAAGGAAGAGTTATTCATGGATGAGATAGATGGATGAGCACCATTACATGATGCCATGTCTTGAGTTGCCTGCTGTTATCTTCACTCGGAGCCCTCAAAGTACTGCAGTTCTGAAAAAAAAAATACTGCATAAGAAATAAGAGTAATACAATTGGAAGTGTTTTCATGACGAGTACTCATCGTCACCTTACGCCTGTGAAACAGTGTACAGCTGGGTTTTAGTTCCAAGCAGGGATGAAATATCTATTGGCAATAACAATTTTTTTTTTCATAAATTCAGAAGATGCAGACATTGCTGACAAATAATTGTGCAGCTGCAGTAAACAGGTTATCTGACATCCAAGCATCCAGAATTCTCGTGCAACCAGCAAAGTTCAAGACAATTTACAATTTTCATGCAGTTACCTCAAAGACACTGTTAGTGTTCACCCACCATGCAGCAGCCAACCCGGCTGCTGTTAGCAGCACTGCCTGTTATCCTTCTTCAAGGTGTTTTTGTACTATCACCACCATTACCATGAGAGGAAGTGACACGAGGTTGGAGAAAACTGAATAATGAGGAGCTTCATAACTTGTCCTCTTCTCCAAGTCAAGGAGGATGAGGTGGGCAGGTCACGTAGCAGGAATGGAGACGAGAAATGGTTATAGGATATTGGTGGGAAAGCCAGAAGGAAAGAGACCACAGGGAAGACCAATGCATAGGTGGGTGGACAATATTAGAATGGATCTGAGAGAGATAGGATGGGATGGTATGGATTGCATAGATTTGGCTCAGGATAGGGACCAGTGGAGGGCTCTTGTGAACACAGTAATGAACCTTCAGGTTCCATAAAATGCTGGGAAGTTCTTTAGTAGCTGCAGAATTGGCGGCTCCTCCAGAAGGGCTCAGCTCCATGAGTAAGTAAGTTATTTATGCCCTTGTTGAAAAAAAAAGATCAATAGGAGGGGAAGTTGAAGAGATGAAGGGAAAACCCAAGACCAAACATGCTTTAAGGCATAAGAGTATTTGTCAATATGATTGTTTCTCTTGTTATTACAGGAGAGGCTAAATGAATTTAATGATACAATATATACTAAATCTCTCACCAGTGAATCTAATATATCTTCCAGGAACACTTTGTTTCAAAAAATAAAATGGAAACATGTTCTGATTTTGTTGTTTTCTTGTTTAAAGTTGTTCTTGTGCAACTGGTAGACTAATGTAACAGCATGCAATATACATGCCACATAACTGGGAGTATATTTTAACTAAACCATTCTACAAATATTTCTGCAAGTGGCTGAATTCATAAGCCAATCTTCATAGATCATTCATCTCTACACTGAAATATCTAATTCAAAACGCTGCAGATATGGACTCCAGCCTCTGGCTAAAATTGTCCAGCTGTTAATGAACTGTTTTTACAAACAAAACGAATTTGATTTCCATGATATTCCGGACAGCAGGCCATGGTATGTCCTTGTCTTAAATTAATTTTTTTTTTAAACCAGAGCGGCAAAAATTCTACGGAAGAAAAAGTACGTCAGTTTCCCCGTGTAAGTTGCTGTCTCTCCCAGCAGAGGCCACCAGCATCCACTGAACACTGTGACCTTGAGAACAACCCCCCCCCGAAACATAAACAGGGCCACTCCCTCGATACGGGACCCTCCCCAAACTGCTTTCTAGTGGGGTAGGTGCGTACTGGGTCAATGACACGTGAGGGTGTTTTCGTTGTCCCAAGCGCTTGCTTCAGTTCCAAAATAACAACCCTACAGCCCGGGGCCAGTTATATTGTTGAAAGGAGGTGCTTTTGTGCATGGGAAAGCTAGCTGGCAAGGCCTCTAGGACGCAGCAAGAACCAACCTGTTCAGCGTCCAGGGATGTACAGAATGTGATATGAAGGCGATGTGAGTCTGTAGTGTGCGGACATTTTGCAGAAAGACATCTTCCATCTACGAAGGTCCAAGAATAAACGGACTACCGAGCAATTTACTTGTCCTAAAGTCGAATAAGGAGGGAGACAGCTTGTTCCTGCAAAACGTCTGCATAAACTTCTGCCACACGACTTCGGGCTCTCACTCATCTTCGTGTTCTGAATTTAAGTATAATGCGTAAAGTGCTTAATGAAGCAGTACGCCACGGTATAAGGGGGAGTGGTGGTATAGCTCCATCATTCTTGACCTCGGCGATAGATGGAGGTGAGGTCATCTTCACGCCTCGGCCGCTTTACCCCAGTGCACATTGGAAAGGAAACTGGTCGGGCGCTGGAGAAGAGAAAGTTTGCCCTCGCTGGGAATCGAGCCCAGCACTCTACCGACTAATCTATCGCGGTTTTAGTCTTCTGAAAGTAACATTTACATTAATATTAAACATATCTTCGCAATCCCCTCCACCGTTCCTATCCGTAATGGTAAAGCTGTCTCGGTAATCGAACCCAGTACTGTTAGCTGTGCAACCCATACCCTTTTCGCACAAAAATAATAAAAGATCTAGACGTAATTTGAAGGTTATGAAAGTGGATCCTAATTAGACAGGATGGGCTGGCTTCATCTGGCTCAGGATAGGGACCAGTGACGGACTCTTTGCCAATGCACCTTCGTGTCCCATACATTTTGCGCATCTGAGCAAGCACTCAGCTCTGTATTAACGCGACAGGCGATCTCCGAAAACACACGTAGCTCTTTCTGAAGTGTCCCGTAATTATAGTCCGATTTTAACCAAAATTGGGATGGGTCGACAAACTTCGCGATATCTCAATTCATAAACATCCGACCAGATGTTCACCAGTCGCCCAGCGCGAATGCCGCTGTCAGTGCCACAACTCCTCCTATACATCCTAACTGTAAACTTTTGTTCAACATGGCATGAAACTGCTAATGTCAATAAAAGGCAAAATTGTCTCCGTGCTTAATTATTTAATCGCCGTGCTGGTTAAGACGTATGGAGGAAGTGGAAGTGTAGCTCCACTATCACTGACCTGCACTAGAGACATCGTTAACTTCACGACCCGGCCACTTTACCACCGGTACCCATTGGTTCGGAGGCTGGGTGAATACTGGATATGAATCTCTTGCTCCCGTCGGGAATCGAACCTCGGTCGTCCATCTCGTCGATATATATACGGAGCTATTATAGCAATGATAAAGCAGATCTGCGGCCAACTCTTCGACAGATGGAACGACGTTGCATCATGTTGGGTGTAATGGGTATTTTTCGCCAGTATTTATGAAGTGAGTGCCACGTTTCGGCGCATATCTGCCGTCTTCAGGTCGTCTTTTTGCTGAACATATGCTTAAACTTTGATATCAACTGCACGCCTATCTTCAGATAACTGGGGACCTGAAGATAGAAAGTGTGCCGTTTCATGCCGAGGAAAACGTAATGTCCCTGCAGTCCTCATGAGACGCCATTAGTCACTAATCTAGTCAAAGACCTCCCAGCGTTTTACGGAACTCGGAAGTTCATTATGTGTTCGCAAGAGACCGCCACTAGACACTATTCTATACCATACTAATCCAGGCCACACCCAAACAATTTCTGCTTTGAAATCCATTTCAGTATAATCTTCATATCTGAGTCTGGGGCTTCCAAGCTGATGTTCCCTCTACATGTTTTCCTATAAATGTTTTGTTGGCGTTTATTTGTCCTATGATTTAAGCATGTCNTAACACCACATATACACGGTGCCAAATCCCAGAAGACTGCTTCTTGATCACATTGTCCTGATTTACCTAATATCACGCAACGTAAATCATGAATTTCATCACGTAATTCCTTCCAGTATTCTGCAATAAGCCGATCACGGTAGCCGAGCGGTCTAAGGCATGCAGTGTCTTCGCTCGCTCGGAAGCCGGGTTCGTGGGCTCGAATCCCACAAAGCATGAATGTTTGGTATGTGTTATGTATTTGTCATGTGTTTAGGTAGAGGCCTTGTGACTAGCTGATCACTCCTCCAAGGAGTCCTACCATCTGTAAAAAGGTCATGAAACTGAAATATCAGTCCACTGTAGAGCCAGTGAAGAATAATTCTGCAATAAATGTTTAGGAGTACCAGATACATATATACAATCGAAAAAGCGAATTTGAAAAGGCATTATTGGGAACTGTAGCATACATTTGTTAGCGTACCTTCCTGATTGCCAGAACACCCCTCTTACAGAAAACAAGGCAACGAGTTCCCTGCTCTCAGTGTTAGCGCCAGTACTTTTCCTTTCCTCTCGCTGCGTTGTTGAGAAAGGAAAGTTTATCGATTGCTCCATCATGGCCGCCTGTGACGTCCCAAAGACCTGCCCTTCCTCCCAAGCAACTAACTTGACGTAGGTCACGGCCGACCACTCCCTCTCCAACACCACAGAAGCTATTTCTAGAAGAGTTCCTTGCAGCGGCAGTGACAAGTCAACCCTTCAGCTCCATAAATTTGGTCCAAATTAAAGCGAAATGGCGAGAGATCCGGGTTCAAACTTGGAGGAAATTACACAAATATATCATTGCAGATAATTGTTGCAGCACGGGCATTTAAAGCGGCATATAAACAGAAAAAGGGGACAGGGAACAAGGAAAAAAACGGAGAAAAGTGGGGGGACAACGAAGAAAAGAGAAAAGGAAAGTGGAAATGTTATGCTAAAATGATAAAGAGAAAAGGGATAAGGGAGGAAAGTGTAAAAGTGAAATAAGTAGACAACTGCTTCCCCCCCCCCCGACGTGGGGGTATAGAAAAGGAAAAAAATACGTTAAGGATATAAAACGAATATTAACGCCAACAACTAAGAATATTTCTAAAAAAAATGTTCTGTAGTGATGCTGCAAGGCGAGCCATAGAAAATAGTGTTAAAGTGCTTAACAAGTTTTTAAGTTTTGGGCCGGATTTTTTTTTCTGGCCATCATGAAACGAGTTGTGGCGCAGTGTTTCAAGTTTTCTTTGTAAATTTTAGTCGGAGACGTCACATCCTGGCAATTCCGGCCACACAACTCAAATATTCGGCACGACTGATGCCAAAAACAATCCTAGACAAGGCTCAGGTTACGTGTGCATCATGATTCATTTTAATATCGTACTCATGTCCGCCTCAAACTTGGAATGAACCGCGTTATACTTATCAGCATTAAAAGTTTACCTTTCATGCATGCCAC